AAAGAAACATCATTTCCCGCATATTTGAGGTGTTCGTCGTTCTTTGGTTAAGTCAAACATCCTCAAAAATATTCAGATACACTGAATAGGCACCTTACTATACTGGTTTCACAATCTCAACAGCCTACTCACTTTGAAGTCATGTGTCAAAAATCACAAAATATTCAAACAGCAAGAAGATGTCCGTAAACCTTGGAGGTAAGGAGTATGTATGATTCTCATGTACAATATAGTAAGAAAATAGTAACCCTATCAAGAAAAAATAGAACCCCTATTATGAAGATAAAAGAAACAGATTCCTATGAATATATTTTTTGTACTTCTATCTAGAAGCTGCTTGAATTAAGCTGGTCTTTTAGTCATCTTCAATTGCAAAACACAGATACAAATACTGCCACAATTTGTATTTTTAAACTAACACGGACTACTTCAGACAGCACCCTGTGGATGGCCATTATGAAGGCCAGACAGAAACAATACCAGACACTGAAAGATTTGTTTGAACAAACAATAGGAAATAAAGGAAGGGAAGCTGCTATCTCCTTCCAGATTGCATGTTCACGTGCTGTCACCTAATTAAGTCTATTCAGTCTTCATTAGCCTCTTGTCCCATTTCGGAAATGGTCATGCTGTTCTCTGTGGCATGTGTATTCTATCTAAGGTGCCTGCTGTTTAACATCCTGTTTAGTTAAAAGAAATTTTCTGGAATGATGGCAAATATTTAACAATAGCCAATGTATTACAGAAGTGGGAAATAAATGTTCCTGCCTAAGTTTACACCGACTGAATGCTTCCAAAGACAATGATAAAGTTGTTTACCCCCCATCTCTTCTCATTAAGAACATAAGACAAACTCTACTGGATAAGACCAATGGTATATCGAGTCCATGATCCTGTTCCCACAATGCCCAATGCATTGCTTGTAGGAAGCCTATGAGCAAGTCATGAATGCAACAGTGGCCTCCCACTTTCATTTCCTGAGAAGCATTCTCTGTCCAATACTAAAGGATACCATGCACTGTAAGATACTGGTAGTTTTATTATTCACAAATTTGACTTGTTTCATGTTAAAAGATGGCAGCTATAACTTTATCTTATGCTACTGAGTTCCATAATACTTGAATTAAAAGCTACATAAATTGCATCTTTTCATCTGTCCTCCTCTCTTGTTAGTCCTTTAATGACTAGTACTGGGATAAATATGTCTCTTTCTCCACATCATAAAGATTGTTTAACTAACAATCAGCTCAAAATATTTAAAGGAATAAGGATCATGCAGGCAGCTCAGTAAACAACAACATATATGACACACAATTCAACTATAACATTTCTCTAAATAACCTTATGTTCAGTTGCATTCCACCATATAAACATGATTTCAGTGGTAACCTGCACTGGAAAAGCAGGTTGCTAACTTATATTTGAGGTTTTTCTAGTAGCTACCTGTGAAGTCATACATATAAGAATCTATGCACCTGTGCAGACCATCTTCAGACACTTTCAGAGCTAGATCTCTTCAGCTGAGGGCCTACATCAACCCATTATACCACACACAGTCAGTACAGTTCCTACTCCAAGTTCCTCAGTTCCATGTCCACCATAAATGCCAGCAATCAAGGAAGGTGAGCACAGCAATAGAGGTTGGTGGGGGTGTGAGTTCACAGGTGACCTCAATTACAAGTTTGATTGTGTGTGTGTGTGTTAGGAGAAACTGCAAGTTGCTTCTGGTGTGAGAGAATTGCCCGTCTGCAAGGATGTTGCCCAGGGGATGCACTGATGTTTTGATGTTTTACTATCCTTGTGGGAGGCTTCTTTCATGTCCCTGCCTGGGGAGCTGGAGCTCACAGAAGGAGCTCATCTGCACTCTTCCCAGATTAGAAACTCTGACCTGTTGGTCTTCAGTCCTGCCGGCACAAGGGTTTAACCCATTGCACCACCGGGGGCTCCTACAATTACAGGTAAACAACATACTTTTTTTCTTCATGGTTTGTGAAATGTGGAATATTAGCAAGCTATACATACCCGGATGGAGGGTGAAACTATACTCATGATGACTGAAGCACAGACAAGCCAAAGGAAGCAGAATCCCTGGTCAGACCAAAGTAAGTGGCTGAGTTAAACTAGCTGCTTGACAAGATAGTCTGTATGGGCACGCCAGCCAGGTACACATATGAAATGGCGACACATTCATATCAGAATATTGGAGTTCTATAACAGATGTTGCTGTTACCTTAGTTTTGGCTTTCAGTCTACTGAGGTTAAGAGAACAGCTATGTATACTCTTATTGAACAGATAGAGAAGTCTCCCGTTAGAGAGTGGTTAAAGGAAAACAAGATCAGGATACTAATATGACCAGACAAAATAGGAAGAGGAAGTAGACTAACAACAACTTAAAATAATATGAGGAATGAGGAGGAAGAGAGAAAGAGAAAGAGGGGAAAGGGGAGAAAAGAAAGAAAGGGAAAAAAGAAGGAAAAAGGGAAAAGAAAAGAAGGAAAGGAGAGAGAGAGGAAGAGGAGAGAAGAAGAAAAAGAAGAAGGAAAAGAGATAGAAATGAAAAGAGGAGAGAAGAGTGAAGGAAAAGAGAGAAATGAAGGAAAAATCAGAAGAAGTAAAAGAAGAAACAGAAAACCACTGATGCTCGCAACTAGAAATAAGAAAAACTTGGAAGAAAGGATTAAGTGTATTTGTAGAATATCATAATAGAGAAGAGTGGGAGTCTTTTAAATTCACTCGTTTGTTATTTGTCTTGGTGGGTGTCTTTGTATGCTATGGGGTTTCTCTTTATTTATTTATTTATTTATTTATTTATTTATTTATTTATTTATTTATTTTTCTCTCTTTCTTTTTTTCTTCTTTGCTCTTTTCTTTCTTAATTCACCATCCATGTTTTTAACATTGTATCTTTTAAAACTTAATAAAACTATTTAAACACAGATAGAGAAGTCCTACAATGCCAAATAAGTCAAGAACTGAAGAATATGATTAATAGGTAGTCTGTGCCAGCCCACATACATGTCACTAAGAAAAGTGAGAAAATGTCTCTTATAACCATACAACATCTGGGTCAATTGTCTACATGCAGGATGAAGAATGGCTCATTCTTCCTGCCAAATATCCTTCAAGCCAGTTTCTTAAACACTGCTCCTCCAAATGCTTCAGACTTTAGCTCCCAGAAATCCCAGTCAGCTTACCAGCTATTAGGAACTGAAGAAGCTGAAGTCCAGAAAAGCAGAGTTTGAGAAACATTGCCTCAAGTCATGGGGCAAAGGACGTGAAGATCTGATCTGGGCATTGAATACAATCATCAGCTGGGGTGAAGAGGCCATGATATAATGAGAGTGTGAAAGTGATGGTGAGATAAGAGGATGACAAAACACAGCTGTCGAGATCACAACTGTGTCACTAGAATGCAGTCCATGTCACCCTCCCTGATCTTTGCCAGGAAAGGGATAGAGGAGAGGACTGTTCCAGTAAAAAAACCAAAACACACACACACAAAACATGTCCTAGTGTTCCCTAGTGGAAGACTGATCTTGCATTTTATCCTCTGAATGCAATCCCAGACATTTGTTAAGTTTGACTTTAGGAGATGAAGTTCTTCTAAGAGGTCTAGGAACAGGAGAATCAAACACAGACAAGACTGACCTACATTATCATGGGTAACAGCAACTGAAACACATGGCCCTGTCAGAACAACAGTATTAGGCAGCATTAGCACATTTGATATTTTGAACAAGTTGAAGATACACAGACAGGATTGGATCCCTTCTGAGGAGATGACAGATTATTTGGGGAAAAAATCAAAAGACTTGGACTTCTTATGAACTGAGGAACCATCAGAAGGCTTCTTCCATTTCTTGGGAGTAGCAGAGACTTTGGGCAGAACTTATACATGCAGTACTGATAACTTCAAGCAGGACTGGGCTGAATCTGAAGTTAATGGAACCAAAGCTCTCTAACAAACAAGTGAAGTCTTTTTGGTACTAGCACCATGCATCAGTATAGTAGATAGTAAAGTCAACGATACAAAAATGTGTGAAGCAAAGGCTGTACAAAGTGGACGGTTTTGAGCGGTGAGATCAGCTGTGCCAACACTAGACTCTTAAAACAGGATTTTAGCATATTTTAGCAGTTATCATCATTGTGGGCCTCCTTGAAGAGAAGGAGACACTTAAAATGGCCATCCTTCTGAAGGATCTTATTTTCACAGCATATTATGGGATAAACTACAGCAGGATGGGGGAAACATGCATATAACAGTATTGCTTGTGTAGTTTTGAGAAATTCCTATTATGCAAAACTGACAGCTTGTTCTACTCTTTCATAATTTGGCAAATGAACCGAGCATGGTGTATGAGATATCCTTCCCTTGAATGTGAGCATGGCTGTTGAAAACACACAAGCTTTACAGATGAAAAAACTAGTTACGTGAAAGTACATACACTTCTGAACCTAACCACTACCAATGCCACAAGTTCCATTCATTCAGTTTCAAAAAGAAGGAATCAAAAGAAGACTATAGAATACAAATTTCCATACAAGTTATGGGTCTGCAGTTGCTAGCTAAGTCCAATACATACTGCCACCTTGTGGTCATTGGAAACATCTACAAAGAATCCAACCCATAATTTAGGTTTGAATGCAAGATATTTTAATACTAAGATTCCATCACCTCGTATTTTTGAGTGTTTTAGAATATTCTAAATAAAGTTATAAGTAAAAATGTATTGTGTGAGTTAGATCCAGCCTTTTTTCCACGATAGTAGCCATTTAAGTAGAAGAGATGAACACACCATGTCTTGTTCCATCAGCACCTGACACGACCCACTTGAATGCTACAATGCAAAGGTTAAGAAAGACACTGGTAGTGCTTAAATGATACAACTTCTAAATCCTCCTGGAAGAAAACCTTCATTTTTTATCCCAAGACAAGAAAGACTAAATGAAGACATCTCCTACAGAAAACGCTCTACTCATTATTATGAATAAGACTCACCAAGCGTTGTGCCATCTTCACCCATAATGCACTTCATGGTGGTGATTATTTGCTGAACAACAGGAGGGGATAGCGACGTAGCATATACTGCACTGTGTGAATGGACACGAAGATAATCGATCAGCTCCTGGAATAGTGAAAATAGCAGACTCTCAGGTATTACTGTGGATCTTGAAAGAGCCAGATTGCCCAAAGCTCAAGACAATCTTAATGGGAAATGTTTCTGTCGACTTGCCTATCAAATTATACTGTTATCTACGATGGAAGGTAAGGATCAAGAATTATGTTTGAATAGATACAGGTATACAAGAACTTTTAGCCTTCAATACAACGATAGTGGTAAGAATTGCATATCTGTGGCTACTGTTTTTTAAACCATTTTAAACTGTTTTAGTGAGCCATAGTGATGTGGTGATTTGAATGCTGGATAATGATTTTAAACCATGTTTTGAATTCATCAGGAAAACCCAGTGGGTGACCTTGGACAAGTTATACCTTCTCAGTCTCAGAGGAAGGAAAGGCTTAAAAATGAAAATAAAGAAATAAATAGGACTCAATACACTCTGAGTGATATAGCAGGAAGATTTATGAAATGTTGCAAAGACTGCCAAACTATTCTGCTGGCCAGTTATGCCAAAGATAGGCAAAGGAAATGAAGTAAAACCAGCATAGTACAACCTGTCTCTCCAGTAAAATAAGGACTGTGCATCTATGTCATTATATTTGTACTTCTGGAATTTGAGAAGTTATACTAGCTAATTTTGATCTGGATATATATACAGCAAGAATGAATATTAATTGCCCTTGTTCCCAACTGCAGACAAGGGAGATGGTTTTCCATAGAGCCACCACCAAAAGGAAAATTGTACGCCTTCTTGACTATATACTTTAAGGCAAGTAATGACTACTAGAAGATAAAAGTATATCCATCAGTGGTTTGTTTTTTAAATATATTTTCCCAATATTTTTGAACAGTGATATACTTCAATCCTTAAAAAAAAAAAGAAGCTTTTTCTTAGCACTCTTTTTTTCTTTTTACCTTTTTGCCTCCAATATATCCTCCAGCAGCTCCAAAGCTCTTAGTGAATGTGCCCATCATAATATCCACATCCTCAGGATCAAGGCCGAAATATTCCACTACACCGCGGCCATTAGGACCCAGTGCTCCTATACTATGAGCTTCATCCAAATATAAATAAGATTTGTATTTCTTCTTAAGAGCAATCACTTCAGGTAGCCTGACAATCGATCCCTCCATGCTGTTGTAAAAAAAGCAAAAATTAATGTGAATTTTAGAATTATCCAATAACACCCAAATCTCCCTGAAAAAGGGACATCTCATTATTGGTTGTATAACCATTATTTCAAATGGTTATACAACCTTCACTGTAAGTAATACAGAAGACTGGTAGATAATGCAAATTCACATGTGGAATAATACAGAGTGCCTCCAGACTTAATGCATTTGAAAAGAGAGGAAGCTTTCAAGCTTCAAGGAATAAGAGAAGAGTAACAATAATCTGCCCGAAAGGTAATGGAACTACTTTGTAGCACTGGGAAATATATCCACTTCCTACATCAGTGGTGGACAAAGTACAACTCATCAGTTATTTTTTAAAAGTTGTTCAATGTCCCACAAATCTATCTACATTGGAATGTATTTCCACTATGTTTTGAGCCTCTCAGGAATCAAACCATTAACTTTTTTTGGAAACTCATTTAAAAAAAAAGAGTTTGTATGCAAAATGCCGTCAGGTCTGTGGGAATCAATTCCACTACATTTGGGGCCCACTCTGGGTCATTTCAGGTCCAACAGGTTGAACAGGAAGCAATTACAAAATTATTTCTGTCCATGTCCTATTCTAACGAAAGGACTCTCTTGAACCTGTAATGGCCTCAAAACATGGTGAAATTTTTTTGTACCTTAGAGGGAAGTCAAAAAGTAGATTTTGTGCAGGAACAAATGTAGCAGCCCTCCAAGTTCTCCTGAGCACATAATGCAGTCCCCTACGCTTCCACAGTCATCCATACCATTTTACATTATGTATGACAAGTCTTTAGGCAATATGTTTATTCACGGGTGAATACCAGTATGTGTAGTATTAACAAATATATTAGCCCCTACATGCTATTATGTTATTAAAGTCTCTTTATTAACTCTAACTGTCTTATATGCCCAGGCTTCCCAAAATATTTGCCTGTGTCATGGTACGGATTTCGCTCTCTCGTAAGGAGTGTTTATTATGGTGAAGAAGTTAAAGTAGTAAATATATGTCTTAAAGAGCTGTGGTAATCAATAACAACAATAATAATAATCAACTTTATTTATACCCCGCCACCATCTCCCTGAAGGAACTCGGGGCGACTCACAAAAGCACTCCAGGTGCCAGACATAAAATAAATAACATAAAAGCATATAAATGATAATAACATACATTTACAACAACGAACACACATAAAATGTTTAGATAGATAGATAGATAGATAGATAGATAGATAGATAGGCAATCTGTATTGCCATTCTGGAGAGAAATGAGATTAGACAGATATCCACTAATTTCAATGCTTATCTCTTATTCCTATGCTTTCTAAACAACAGACACCCTCAAGCTTACATAAGAAATTTAGAAAACATGTGTGAATGTCTCACCCTCCTAGTCTAGAGACAATAAAGGCGACCATCATACGTCAGTGAGGCACTAAAGTGGGCAGTGATTTTGCAACTCAAGAACAGGGAAAGGATAAAACAAAAGTTCAGTAGAAGCGGAGAGCCTTTTATATCGGAGTGTGAATATGTGAACTACACTGTCAATGTTAAACTAGCCTGTGTGCACACAAACATTTTTCTTCCCATCAGCCTTGTTTGATTAGAGCAAGTTAGAGGCATTTTACAGATTAATATGCATTTAGCATGCTACTAGAAATGGTGGAAGAAAATATAACCATACTTATTCTATTATGCCTCATATTAAAGTCTTTTAATAACAGAGCTGTGAAAGTGTAGGTTTTAAAATACTGGAACACTGTGCTGATGCACTATTCAAATTGTTTGTAAACTGTTCTAACAAATGAACAGAAAGTGGGGCACAAGTAAATATAAACAGAAGAGGCTTATTTTAGCCTCTTCCTTCCAGCACAACATCACCTTAAGTCAGATTTAATGAGTGTTCATTACAAAGGCTATCTGACTTGAAAGTGTGACTACAGAAGATATAGTCAAAGCAATACATGGAGGTCAGATATTAATCACAGTGTCAAGTCTCTCCATCCCTGGTGTATATGATAAAAATTAAGATGTTTATGATAAAAATTAAGAGAAACCCTGGAGAGATTGGAATCGGGGAAAGACTAAATATCTTTTCAGATTTTGGACATTAAAAAAGCGGCAAATAAGATAGAAACGAAGGTTGGAAGGGATGGAATAACGGAGAGTACTGAATAAGGAGAGAATCAAGAGAATTAAGAAAATTCCGGTTGGAGGAGGGAAAGAATTAATAACATAGAATTAACACACAAGATATAAGGGGAGAGATTGCCTATTGGAGAAAGAAGGAGAGAAGAGTGAACAGAAGGAATAATATAGACAGCCAGACGAGTACAAATTCTCCAATTCATTCTAATTTATTCCAAATTTCCAGTTAATCTTACTAAAGGAAAAATACAAAAAAGAAGGAGAATACAACAGAATTGAAGGAGGGCCTGACCTTGAAGTGGTTTGTTGTGTCTTCGGCTTGGAAAGGGAGGCGCGGAGGGCGGCGCGACGCAGCACGAAGGGCGGCGCAGAGAGTAGGACCTCGCAGAAGGACCGCATGAGGAGGACGCACGTGGAGAAGAGGAAGTGAGGTACAGGAAGAGACGCAATAGCGCGAGAAACATCGCGAGAGTCCAGAAGGAAGAAGCAAAAGGAGAAGCCCGCGCGAAGCCTCGCGAGATCGGGAGAAGGAGAGAAATATCGTGAGGGGGAGGTAGGGAAGAAAGAGAGAACAATCAGGAAGGAAAGTCTCGCGAGAGCAGGAAGGAGACCAGGAAGAAGGGCAAAGCAACGGACAGGAAGAAGGGCGCAACATAGGGAAGAATTGTAGAGGAATTCAAGCGGATTAGACCCAGTAAGTAAAACGAAGGGGGGAACTGGGTAAACAGATAATAAAAATAAAATTAAGAGACAGAAGAAAGAAGAAGGAGGAAGAGGAGACAAATAGAAGACAAGGTAATAATTAAATTATAAAAAAAAAATTGGATGAGAGAGTGGCTGGGTACAAAGGGGTGGAAGAGAATACGGACAGATTCACTAGAGGAAGAGGAGCTTGAAAAGGAGGAAATGAGAAGATGCTCAGAAGAAGGTGCGGGAGTAATGGAATTAAGTGACCCAGAGGAGGAGGAAAGTGAGGAAGAAGAAGAAGAAGCAGAGAGACAAGAAGAACGACAACAGGAGTCGGAGGAGGAAGAGCAGATAGTAAGAGAAGAGGAAGAAAAGGAAGCATGCTGAATGAACTGAGAGTCTATACGAATAACGTCAACGGGTTGAATTCTCCAAATAAAAGAAATAAAATATTTAATGGATTAAAGAAAAAGAAGTATCATATTATTGCGTTGCAAGAAACTCACATCATGAGTAGACATACGAAACACTTAGAAAATAAAAGACTGGGGCAGGCCTTCTATGCAGCAATACAAGAAAAAAAAAGATGTCTAGTAACATACATAGATAAAAATATAACAGCGGAATTAGCCTTTAAAGATGAGGAAGGAAGGTTTCTAGGGGTGAAAATTTGGCTAAATAATAAAAAAATGTTAATCTGTAATATTTACGCACCGAATAGTGCCAAGACAAGGTTTGTGGAAAGGTTGAGGAAAAATATTGAGGATCAGGAATTTGATCAGATGATAATGCTAGGGGACTTTAACGGTGTTCTGAATAGGGGGATGGACAGAAGTGCAACAAAGAAGGACAGAAAGAAGAACAAGGAGGAAAGGGGGGACCTACCAAAATCAATGATAAGGATGATGAAAGAGTTATGTCTGGTGGATATTTGGAGAAACAGAAACGAAGGGACAAGAGATTATACTTACTATTCATCAAGATACTGTAATTGGTCAAGAATAGATATGATTTGGATAACATCCTCCCTACAGATAAATGTGTCAAAAGTATTAATCTTACCTAGGATCCACTCGGACCACTGTGCTCTGGAATTGGAAATAAAAATAATGGAGAAAACAAGAAGATGGCGGTTGGATGACAATTTATTAAAAAAGGAAGAAGACATAGAACGAAATAGAAAATTGATAAAGGACTACTTTGAAATAAATGACGGACCAGAGACATCAATCCTCACATTATGGGAGGCAAGCAAGGCTGTCATAAGAGGATACTTCATACAACAAAAGAGTAGGAAAAATAGGGAAAAAAGGAATAAAATGAAAGAGGTAATGGAGGCTATCAAAGAAGAGGAAGGTAAGGTAAAAGCAAACCCGCAAGACAAAGAGGCAAAACAGAGCCTGGAACATCTACATAAACAGAGAGAATTTTTGGAGACGGAGGAGAGGGAGAAAGAGCTTAAGTTCATAAAACAGAACTTTTTTATGAATGCGAATAAACCGGGACGCTGGCTGGCGAATAAAATTAGGAACAGAAAGGAAGCAACATTTATTACCAAACTGAAAGCTAATGGTAAGATTATAAATGAGGAAGAGAAGATTAGGGAACAGTTTTATGACTTTTACAAGAAATTATATCAAGATGAAAATATAGAGGAGGACGAAATTTACCAATATTTAACAAATCACAAGATACAAAGGATATCAGATGAACAAAGGGAAAAACTGAATAAAGAAATTACTGAGAAGGAAATAAAAGAAGCAATAAATAAACTGAAACCAAACAAAGCGCCGGGCCCAGACGGGTTTACGGCAATCTATTATAAGACTTTCAAAGAAGAGCTGTCTCCATACTTAAAAGAAATAATGAATAGAATCCGAATCTACAAGGAAATTCCAGAATCATGGAAGAAAGCAAATATCTGTTTAATACACAAAGAAAACTCGGATGAAGAACAAGTGCATAAGATGGCGGAGAGACGCACACACTAGAGCTCCAGGAAAGTGTGTGAGCGGTGGAGCCGATCGGGTAGAGCTTTAGCTCCCTTCCCAACTGTGGATTGACGCAGAGGGAACAGCGGAACCAGGGGGCCAACCGACGGTCCAAAAGGGGGTCTTCTCCTCAAGAGGAGACAACCGAAAGGATCCGGTAGTGGCCCCG